TAGTAGTTTTGTCACCCACTTGGCACTAGTAGTAGTAGTAGTAGTAGTAGTAGTAGTAGTAGCAGCAGTAGTAGCAGCAGTAGTAGTAGTAGTAGCAGTAGTAGTAATAGTAGCAGTAGTAGTAGTAGTAGTAGTAGTAGTAGTAGTAGTAGTAATACTAATAGTAATAGTAATAGTCGTCGTGGCAATAGTAGGAAGTACAGTGTAGCAGTCGTCGTCGTCAGAGCTTGGGTACCAGTATGAATAACGACCGTCGCAATACTACAAGCAGAGCCAAAGGCCAAAGGCAATGAAACGCAGTTTTCCAGAAGAGTGAAGGTAAGTTGCTTTCGCGCACCAACCGCCGCCGGTAAACTGTAGTTCTGGAGCGTTGCATCGCACGTATGTTCAACATCCAACGCAAGGGTTTTAGGACTACGCCCAGATGCTGTGCAACACATTTGCAATGTTCGGCGGGAACTGCTCAAAGGTCGGCACTGCACGCATGTGTTTGGAAAAGTCTCTGCCGCGCCAAGAGAGAGCGTCCGCAAGAAAAAGAAGATCAGCACGACCTGTCCAGGTCTTCTGGGCACCTCATTTCGTGCACATCAGCACACCTCACGCCTCGGAATACAGCATAAACCTGCACCAGTTGTGACTGCAGAGGTCGCGGCAACATGGAGCAACTTGATTGTAATTTGTGCCTTGATGGTGGGGATGTCCAAGCTGCGAAACCAAAGAGAGCACCACAAAGGGTCACCTATGACGGAATTGGTTCGTTGGATTCTGCGCCGATAAGCCGTCCGGCCTGCATCATGGGGATGCACACTCGTGCTCCGAATCGGTCAACAGCATGCCCCAACCTTTGTCCAACTTTATCTTGCACTGTGGGATGCTCCCATGCTTGGCAGGAAGCTGCTCCGCAGAACAAGGCTTGCGGCAAAGGTTGAACCAGGCCCGCCAAGATGGTAGCGATTGAGAAAAATCCACCCAGCTCGGCGTGGGACAAGTCGAAATCCTAGCACTAGGCCAGCTACGACCCCTTCAAAGGAATCGAAAATGCCGTGAGCCTGAAGCAAGTGCGGGACCTGCCGATGGCGACAAAAAACATCAAATTCATGCTGACGGCCATGAAACTCGATTACGCTAACGCCCCCGCCGTGTACGACATCACATTGTTTTGGCCCTGCATGAGATGCATCTGTGAGTAAGTTTGAACCCACAGAACCAAAAGATCGTGACAGATTCACAAGCCTGCACTTTGAAGATCTTGCATAAGATGCACACGGCCACGATGACCCAGCCGTAGAAAATGCAACTGAAGCGGCCGCTGGATCCTTGTTGTCCGAGGCCTTTCCCGGTTGCTTCTGCAACCAAAGCGTGCAGCTGGTGGCCAGCCACTCCCATCTGTCATTCAGCCACGGGCTGCTGTGAGCGACGCAAACAGAGCAAAACAAGTATGCAAGCCATGTAAGCCGTACTGCCGTTACAACTTGCAACTGGATTCAAAATGCTATTCCCGTGCCTGGTCTGCGATGTGCCACTGACATGCTGGAATGCTAAGTCATTTGAGCCGATTATTCTGCCGCGCACACATGACAGGGTATCAATGCTCCCCGTGCGAGACGGGCAGGTCGTCCGCGACGACTTCGAGCTATCTGAATGCATGGCGCGTCGCTCAACGGAGCATGCATGTTATGTGCGTTGCCTGTTTTCTCGGGCTGGCCTGACTGTGTACAATGCGCTCACACCCGGTCCACTTTCTCGAGCCCACACGGCAGCTCGTGGTGTTTCCCAAAGTCGGTGACGACGGCAGATGGACCAAGTCACGCCCGCAGTCAAACTGCTATGGGTCCCGAGAAGGTCCAAAGAAACACCACGACCGTGAGACACAATCAGAAGTGACACCGCATTCATGAATTATAATCTAACGAGCCCCCTTGCTGCACAGGCTCCGGCTCGCTCTCCCGCTGACGTCCAAGCGATGTCGCTGCGGAGGACACCTCGACAGCCTGGGTGACCACCGCTCTTTTTGCGGACAGTCGGAGTCCTCGCACATACAGCAGGGCCGCTGGAACGCGCCGTCGCGCGCCTCTGCCGGGAAGCCGGAGCGCAGGTCGCCACGAGCGTCGCTTCGCGGGAGCTCAACGTGGATGCCCCCGCCACGGACGGCCGCAGAATCGAGGTCGTTGCGAACGGCCCCCCGCTTTTTGGGCTGAATCGCCCTAGCATGCCCCTGCTTAGCCAGCCGACGACGCTGAACTCGCTGCCTCTCGCGGGTCCTTGATGACTTTGCTCTTGCTGAGCCACAGTGTTGGCCCTGCCGAGCTCGCACTCCTGGATTCACCGTCGGGCCATTTGCAGCCAAGGTTCTCGCTGTGCGGCCTACTGACTGTTCCTGGGCTCGCCGTCGACTCGGCTCCTTTCCACGTGTTACTGCTCAGCCCTGGCAACAGCCCGCCGAAGCAAGGAACGCACCTACCCGGAGTTCGGGCGGGCGTCGCGGTGCCGCTTGGTCGTTCTCGGCATCGAGGTTGGCGGACGCCGGAGTGCTGAGCGGCCAACTTCGTCCGGTTGCTGGCTCGAGCATCCCTCTGCAGCGGGCGATGGTCGGGATTATTGTCGGTTGCCGCAGCCAGGTCCTTTGCTGCCAGCTTGCTTTCCTTGCCGAAATTCAATACCGCCAATGTTGAGGGCGAGTCACCTTTGCTCAGCGACGTCCTCTCTGACTCCGCCGAGTCACCTCCCCTGGCCTCCCCTTGCCTCCCGCCTGGCGTAGCGCGTGTGTGAGTTCTGCGCCGCCGGAGCCCTCGTTGCACTGGGACCACATGGACTTGTTGTGAAAAAGATGTGTTGAAAAATAAACGGACTCCTGCGAGTGGGGGCTCATGCGCGACCGGCACTGGCCCTGCAACAAGCTTAAAGCCCGCAAATTCGGCACCTACCCCGAGCTCCAGCCAGGCAGTCAAGCGCGATGCTGTTTGGTGGGGTTCGGCCTGGAGGTCGGCGGGCGCTTCGATCGTCAAGCGGTTGCGCTGCTCTGCCGGCTTGCTCGCGCTCGCGCCCGAAATCGAGTCCCGTGGGCGCAGGCCGCAGCAGCAATCGCCCCGCTTATAAGCCGCTGGACCGCACTCGCAGCACTCGCCGCCTTACGCGCGCACGCGCAGAGTCTGCTGGAGCTGCCGGCAGCTCGGCGAGGAGGACGGCTTGAAGCGTGCGGGTAACCACGCGACGAAGAAAGTCCCCGACAACAATGCTACGTGTAACTCCGTTGGGTTTGCGCAGCGCGACCATGCGCCGTTGTGGTAGAAACGGCCGGCCTATCTATTTTACCGAAACACAGCCAAGCTAAGCCAAGCCAAAACCGAGCCGCACATGGGAAACAAATCCGGCCGGAGTTTGAGGTTGAACTCAGTTTGTCACACAGGGCCGCCCTTGGACGAATGCAGCAACGAACCGACAGCCTCGTGAGCATCGAAAATATTCCACTCTCGCAGTTCGAGTTGCACGCGCAACATTGCCGCCGAGAACCCAGACGATTTGCCACCGGTCCATGGGTGGTGGTTCCGATGACTTCCCAGTTGGCCCTACTAGGGGACCACCGGTGGAAGGGTTCAAAGATGTGGGGCATTGCGACTCAAATTCAATCATGTCACCGGCAACACGGGACTATTCTACATTGAGAACCGAATGCATGTGCGGACGCATAGGGCTATGATTCGTCATCTTGCTCGGCATGACTAGGGTTGGCATGCTGCCAGACACCTGAATTCCTAAAATGCATTGCCGCAACATCCAAATCGGAAGCCAATCACCCCCAAAAAAACCTGCAACAAGAAATCCTGCAGCTGGTTGGGTAGAGGGCGGTAGGCAATGAAAACAAGAGTTT